AGGAACGGATGGAAACTCATCAAGGAAAGAAGCAACCTAGAACTAAGGAGAAACTTCCCGACAGTTGGAACAATTAACCAGTGGAACAACTTGCCTCTAGAAGTTGTGAATGCTCCAACACTGGAAGTTTTTAAGAAGATGTTGGATAACCATTTGTCTGAAGTGGTGTAGGGTTTCCTGCCTAAGCAGGGGGTTGGACTAGAAGACCTGCAAGGTCCCTTCCAACGCTGTTATTCTATTCTATTCCATTCCATTCCACTCCATTCCATTCCATTCCATTCTATTCTGTTTTCTTCATTATTTATCAGTATCAATAATGATCCAAGCACACCTATCCTAGGGTATTTAATTCTGGGAATCATATTTTAAGAAGATCCTTAACTGTACCGCAGTAATTAGGTCCAGAGAAAGCAAACAAAATGAAGAACAAACAAGGAAAATCTTATGAAGAATGCTTGGAGGCATCGGATATATTTAGCCTGCAGATGAGATGGTTGAAGAGAGATGTGACAGCTGCCTTCAAGTATCTGAAGGGCCGTCATGTAGAAGATGAGACAAGAGAATTCGGGGTTGTTCTAAAAGAACAAGAAATCATGAGTTTCAAATACAAAGAAGGGCATTTTGGTTGGGTGTCAGGGGAAAAAATATACTTAATGGTATGAATTGTTGTGCCACAATGGAATGTGAAAGTGATGGTGAAACTTCCTTCTTGGGAGGTATCTGAAGAGAAAAGAGTCTTTCTTCAGAGAGATTTAAAGAATCTTCAGACGTATCTGAAGAAAACATCTGAAGAAAGATGGTGAGACAAGCCTTGGAATACTGTGTCCAATTCTGGTCACAATACAAAAAAAAATGTTGAGTCTCTAGAAAGAGTGCAGAGAACAGCAACCAAGATGATTAGAGGCAGTAGTGGGTTTCAATTTTTTTTTACTACCGGTTCTGTGGGTGTGGCTTTGTGGGCATGGCTTTGTGGGCATGGCAGGGGAAGGTTACTGTAAAATCTCCATTCCCTCCCCATTCCAGGGGAAGGTTACTGCCCATTTCCTGCTGATCAGCTTGGACTCAGGAGGCAGAGAATAGATGGGGGAGGGGCCAGTCAGAATTTTTACTACCAGTTCTCCAAACTACTCAAAATTTCCGCTACCGGTTCTCCAGAACTGGTCAGAACCTGCTGAAACCCACCTCTGATTAGAGGACTGGAGGCTAAAACGTACCATAAACAGTTAAGGGAACTAGATATGTCTCGTCTAACAAAGAGAAGGAATAAACTGATACGATAGCAGTCTTCCAATACTTGAGGGGCTGTCACAGAGAAGAGGGAGAGTCAACCTATTCTCCAGAGCACCTGAGGGCAGGACCAGGAGTAACGGGTAGATGATCATTAAAGACAGATCATAGAAATTGAGTGGTGGCCATATATGCAGATTCAAGCTAGATATAAGAAAAATTTAGAACAATATGAATTCCAAAAAGAACCACAAGAATTAGATAAGATTTTACAAGGCACTGAGGACAAATTGATTAAGAAAATATATAATTATTTATTGAGATATAGAATGGAAGAGGAGGTAGTTAAAGAAACTATGATTACGTGGGCCAAAAATTTCAGCTATAATATTGAATTGGAGAAATGGGAGAAAATTTGGGATAAAAACTATAAATTGAGGATGTCTGTAGCCTATAAGGAAAATATGTATAAAATGTTCTACAGATGGCATCCCCCACCAGCAAGATTGGCTAGAATGTTCCCAAATACATCACCAGACTGCTGGAAATGCAGACAAAATCAGGGAACATACTACCACATGTGGTGGACATGCCCAAAAGCAAAACAATACTGGAACGGAATAAGAAAACGGCTCAAAGAGATAACTAAACAGCAAATAGATATGAAACAATCAAGGAATCAAGGAATTACGATAAAAACCCACAATATTTAATTCTAAATATTACAACAGGAGCGAGAATAATGTATGCACAGAATTGGAAAAATAAAAATATACCAACAGAGGAAAATGTGATAAGGAAAGTTTTAGAATGTGCAGAGATAGACAGACTTACAAAGGAAATAAAGGATAAAGAAGAAACAGAGTATTATATGGCATGGAATGAATGGTATATAAATGGTTAGAGGATAGGTATAAAGGTTAAGGAAAGACTGAATGAAGAAGATATAGGAGTTAGAAATTAGTAACAAAGCTACATAAATGGAAATGACACATAATGAATGACTGTAATTTAGTATATGAATATATTATGATGTATAAAAAGAATGAATGGGGAAAAATCTAAATAAAAGACAGATCCAACCTAGAACTAAAGAAAAATTTCCTGATAATGAAAAAAAAATCAGTGGAATGTCTTGCTTCTACTCCATCCCTGGAGGTTTTCAAGAAGAAATTGAACAGAGATTTTTTTCTGGGATGGAATAAGGATTCCTGCCTTGGGCAGGGAGGGTTGGACTAGAAGACCTCCGAGGTCCCTTCCAGCCATATGGTTCTATATGTCTCTCACTCTCCCTACATCACCAGCCCTTCCTACATCAGGCGTTTTATGGGCCTCCAGAGATACATTTTGATTCTCCTTAATGAAGTCTCCTTCAAGGACAGAAAGACAGAGAGCGGGAAAAAAGACTGTATTCTACTAAGACCGTGATGGGGAACCTATGGCACATGTGCCGGAAGTGGCATGCAGAGCCATCTCTCCGGGTACGCGAGCTGTCGCATGCTGCTCTTCCGGGTTCCGGCATGCCAGCTAGCTGGTCTTCACGTGCACAGGAGCGCCGGAAACCGGAAGACCAGGTGGCCGGTGCACATGCGTGTGCCAGGAAGATGATATTCCCATTTCCGGTGCCCACATGCGCACCAGAAACCGGAAGACCAGGTGGCCGGCGTGCATGCGTGCGCCGGAAACCAGAAGGGCAGCCACCCGGCGCACATGCTCCCGTTTCGGCACTCGGTGCCGAAAAGGTTCACTAACACTGTACTAAGAGATGCATATCCATTTTCTTTTTCCCAGAGTTAGAATCCCATCTGTCTGTTTGTGCAAAAAACAACAACAAACCTATTTCACAGAGGAAATAAGGAAGCAATGAACGGGGTATACAAATCCCTTCAGAGCAAATGTGCACTAACAGCAAACACTGTTTTACCAGGCCTCCGATGTAAAGATGGATTGAAGGAATATTTTGATGCTGTTTCTCTCTCTCTCTCTCTCTCTCTCTCTCTCTCTCTCTCTCTCTCTCTCTCTTTTGGCTACACTTTAATTTTGATGTGCACGGCGAGGTTTGCCAAATACGCTTCATCTAGTGATGGAATGTCATTCCTCTCAAGAGTTTGCATCATGCATCAAATTATCAGGTCACCAAACCAGAGGGTCGGTGAGTTGTTCTAGAATAAGCAGGGAGACGAAAAAAATCTAGCTAAGATTAATGCATTATTTTTGGAAATTATACCAATGCATCTGTTTGCTCACGCCCCGACCTCCTTCAGCATCTTGTGGGAACACCGCTGCACGCAGAGAGATAGAATGACACCCAGCCGTAGGGACTCATTTTTAGGCCCTGCTCCAAAAACCACCGACAGCCAGCAACTGCTCTCCATAAAATATTTAACCGTTCAACCTTAAAATATTAAATATTAATTCCCCTCCAATGTCAAGCATTTAATTTAAATATCTGCATTTAAATCATTCATGCTTCTCCTGCGGGCTGCCCCCCTCCCCCACCCCCCCACCCCATATGGCCTGGGCTGCAATTTCTCATCCTCCTAGACTGCACGCCCGTGGATCATGGGCATTGTAGTCCAACCCATCAGAAGAGTGCCAGGTAAGAAAATAGCTGTTTCCCCCCCCCCCCATTACTATTATTAATCTGATGATCTTTGAAAGTTAACTCAGTGAAAAATGCAGCTTTCTCTAGGAAAGGGCCGATGTGAAGCTGCAGAAGGCAGCGTCTCTAAAATGTCTTTGCCCCCCCCCTCCGCCCCCCCTTTAAGCGAAACAGTTTACTGCTGGTTCACTGCACAGAAGTCTCTTTCATTACCAGAGCAAGGTGCTTTTTTCCCCTAGGCTGCTCCTTGGACCTCTCAGGTGAGTCTCCAGCCTACCTGGAGGGACCCTTCCCACAAGTCCAGCCGTGCTTACCAGCTGCAGATCAGATCTGCTAGATCTGACCAGTTCTATTGGATCAGCCAAGGAGCCTGGTGTGCCCATCCCTGCTTTAAAGGCTATTCTGCAAGTGTAGAAAGATGCTTGTGGAAATATTCACACGTGGAAATGTAATCTACCCTGTGACAGAAATATATAATGAAAGAGGGGGGAATGAGGGCATACACGGGGGGGGGGAGAGAAAGAGAGAGGGAGATGATAGATAGATAGATGATAGATAGACAGATGATATAGATAGATAGAGACAGATGATAGAAATGATAGATAGATGATAGATGATCAAGATAGATAGATAGATGAGATAGATGAGATAAATAGATAGATGGATGATATAGACAGATGATAAAAATGATAGATGATAGACGATGAAGATAGATAGAGACAGATGATAGAAATGATATAGATGATAGATGATAAAGATAGATAGATAGATAGATAGATAGATAGATAGATAGATAGATAGATGTTAGATGATAGGTAGGTAGGTAGGTAAGTAGATAGATAGATAGATAGATAGATAGATAGATAGATAGATAGATAGATAGATAGATAGATGATAGACAGATAGACAGACAGACAGAGAGGCAGGCAAACAGAGGGATGGATATAGGTGTAGGGACATGTAGATATAGGTGAGCGGGATTGCCCACATCCACGATACATACACCCCATCCCGACCTAACGCCTCCATCCTCCTCGCTCTTTACTAGACCGGCTTGTATCCCCTCCCTCCCCTCCCCCTCCACACACACGTACCCACCGGCACCCGGCAGCGAGCGCAGGAGATCCGGACCGGACGCCCTTTCCCCGCCTGCCTGCCTGCCTTCACCCACCGGTCACTCGGCGGACAGAGCCGGCCCGGCCGCCTTCGTCGGCATCCTCCTCCTCTTCCTCTTCCTCGGCGTCTCGCTCTTCGGCGGCGGCGGGTGCAGCAGCGGTGCCGGAGCTGCTCGGCCGCGCGGCGACGGCTCCCTCCGGGCGGCAGGCAGCGGGGCAGAAGCCGAGGCGAGGCGAGGCGCGAGCGGGGAGGGCCAGCACCGCCCCCGGCCGGCGTGCTTCGACCAATCAGACGCCGCAACCAGCCCGCACCCCGCGGTCCTTCGCGCCCCCCCCCCCCCAAACTCTCCCGCGGTACCTTCCTGACCACGCCCCCTCACCGCTGCGGCGGAGGTGGGGTCTGAGGCCCCGCCCTCCTCCCGGCCGGGCCACGCCCCCCCCCACAGGGCAGATAGACAGGTGCGCTCCGCATCACCTTAAGCCGCGACGTTCGGTCTCTCTTTTGCCTGACGTCCCCCCTCCCTCAAGGAGGTGACCTTGGAGGTCGCTGAGCAGAGGCAGAGTGGGGTTGGGAAAGGAGGCCACCAGGAGATGCCAGGCCAGGTGGGTGGGGGGGAAAGGGGGAATGGGAATAAAGCTCTTAAACGAGGATTTCATCGCTGTTAATCCAATCCAATTAATTGTTTAATTGAGATAATTTTGACGCTAAATGTGATGCAGAGGATACACAGTACTTTGTGTATGATGTTTAGGTTTAGGTTTTATTTGATTTATATAGCGTCCTACTCCCGAAGGACTCAGGGCGGTGAACAGCCACAAGATAAAACACATAAATACAAAATTCAAAAGCAAAATAAAACCGAATTAAACAATTTGGCCCAAGACAGATTTAAAACACCCCAATAATTAAGAACAGATTTAAAATTTACATTTTAAAAGGGAAAAAGGGAAAGTTAGGCCAGGCCAGCCTGATGGAATAAAAAGGCCTTGAGAGCGCGACGGAAGGTGCGCAGATCCGGGATCCTCCGTATCTCCGAGGGGAGCTCATTCCAGATAGTAGGTGCCCCCACAGAGAAAGCTCTCCCCCTGGAGGCTGCCAGTCGACATTGTTTGGCCGACGGCACCCGGAGGAGCCCCTCTCTATGAGAGCGTACCAGCTGGTGGGAGGCTACTGGTGGCAGCAGGCGGTCCCGTAGATAACCAGGTCCTAAGCCATGGAGCGCTTTAAAGGTGGTAACCAGAACCTTGAAGCGCACCCGGAAGACCACCGGGAGCCAGTGCAGCTCGCGCAGGAGAGGTGTTACATGGGAACGCCATGTCGCTCCCATAACCACCCGCGCGGCCGCACTCTGCGCCAGTTGGAGCCTCCGGGTGCTCCTCAAGGGGAGCCCCATGTAGAGAGCGTTACAGTAGTCCAGGCAGGAGGTGACGAGGGCATGAGTGACCGTGCGTAAGGAGTCCTGATCCAGAAAGGGACGCAACTGGCAGATCAGGCAAACCTGATGAAAAATCCTTCCGGTCACGGCCGTCAAGTGCTCTTCTAAAGACAGCCGTGAATCCAGGAGGACACCCAAATTGCAAGCCCTTTCCGTGGGGATTAGCGATTCGCCCCCAATAGTCAGTGATGGCACCAACTGACTATATCGGGACGTCGGAAACTACAGCCATTCAGTCTTGGATGTAAGGAAATATTTTTATTATGGTAAGCCGAAGCCGGTATAATCACTTTTAACAGTTAAGTCGGAGTTCATAAAATTCAGATAAAGCTATGACGATCTTGAATTCTTTTCTGTAATTAGAGAGGTAATAAATTTGACAAATAGCATCCAGCCAGGCCTAAAACTTGGCCAAATGCCTAGTAGGACTGGCAGATCCTCTGCCGCGTGGCTCTCATATCTAGGTGGCCCACACATGCATATATATAAAATATATGTGTAGTTATATTATTTATAATATTATGCAGGAAGCTTTTCAAGGCTCAAATAGCCTTTTCATCATCATCATCATCATTATTCTATCCATCACAGGATGAAGGTCTCTTCCTCATGTTTTCTCCCATACGGTCCTGAGCTTTCTTTTGCCAATTGGGTCTGCCTTACTTGCTGATGTCATCCGTCCATCTTGTTTTAGGTCTCTTTCATGGACGCTTTTGATCAAGTGGGATCCATTCTAGGACTGCCTTGCTCCACTTGCCATCCGTTCTTCTTCCTAAGTGACCAGCCCATTTCCATTGCAATTCTTTTGCTTTCTTAACGGCATCGTATCAGTGGTGAAATGTAAAATTTGTTACTACCGGTTCTGTGGGTGTGGCTTGGTGGGGGTGGTGGTAATGTGACTGGGTGGGTGTGGCCAACTTTTTTTTTTTTTTACTTTTAAAAGCATTTTTTCTACAACCTCTTGAAGAAGTTGTAAAAAAATGCTTTTAAAAGCCTCTGACGATCCAGCAACTCAGCTGGTATCATCAGAGGCTTTTAAAAGCATTTTTTTCCTACAACCTCTTCGGCCGAAGAGGTTGCATTAAAAAATGCTTTTAAAAGCCTCTGACGGTCCCAGCTCAGCCGCACGATCAACAGAGGCTTTTTTGTTTTACTTTTAAAAGCATTTTTTCCGCCGAAGAGGTTGTAGAAAAAAAGCCTCTGATGATCACACAGCTCAGCTGGGCATGGGAGGGGGGGCGGTGCAGGGATTTTTGCTACCAGTTCTCCGAACCACCCGCCACCATCGCTGCCGAATCAGGCGATCCGGTCCGAACAGGGAACATTTCACCCCTGCATCATATACTTTCTTTTTGTTCTCTAATCCATGTGCAGGTCTTTCTATCTTGTCTTGTGATGTGTAGCATCCCAAAGGTGCTCTTTCAGGAGGCAACTGGACTTTCTGATTTTTCTTTGAAGACGTTTCGCTTCTTCAGCCAAGAAGCTTCTTCAGCTCTGATTGGATGGTGGGGAATGGAAGGATTGATACTCCTTGCAGACAGCTGGACATTTGCATTTTTTTAGAGAGCCGTTGAGGGATGCGGTGGCTCAGTGGCTAAGATGCTGAGCTTGTCGATCGAAAAGTCGGCAGTTCAGCAGTTCGAATCCCGAGTGCCACATAATGGGGTGAACTCCCGTTCCTTGTCCTGGCTTCTGCTAACCTAGCAGTTCAAAAGCACGTAAAAAATGCAAGTAGAAAAATAGGGACCACCTTTGGTGGGAAGGGAACAGCGTTCCATGCGCCTTTGGCATTTAGTCATGCCACCACATGACCAGAGAGACGTCTTCGGACAGCACTGGCTCTTCGGCTTAGAAATGGAGATGAGCACCGCCCTCTAGAGTCGGGAACGACTAGCACAGATCTTTACCGTTACCTTTAGAAAGCCGTTGAGGCCACTTGAAGGTTTCTCTGTGTCCTCAGGGTCACCTGAGTGATGCAAATGTGTGGAGCAGAGGTGGTATTCAGCCGGTTCTTGGAACTGTTGAAAGGACTGTGTTGTAGATTGGAGATAGATGACGTCGTGTCCCTCCCTCTCTGTGGAGAGAGGGTTGTTCAATCACATTTAACACGCTGTTCAATTTCCTTTATTGTCTCACCTTCCGTTGAGATCCGTTGGCCAAGGTGTATAAATAGCCCTGTAGATAAGCTTATTCAAAACACCACAATTATTGGATGGCCAAATTTTAGCTGCATGACGTTCAGAGTGGTCAGTTGGAGGGAAAAAATCGAGGTATGTGAAGATCAATATTATTTATTTAAATTTATTAAAGTATTCATTCTTTTTGCTTTGCGTTTGTAGAGGACCCGGTAAGTTAAGAGTGCTAAAGTTAAGAATGTTACTGTGTTTCCCCGAAAATAAGACCCTGTCTTATATTTTTTTTGAATCCTGAAGTAAGCGCTTGGCCTTATTTTCGGGGAGGTCTTACTATTTTGGGGCGCGTGGAGCAAGACGGGGCTCCTCTTGCCTTCTTACCTGATTTCCAGCTCTGTCTCCCTAACCCTAACCAGAGGAAATAGCGGGGACCGGCTGCACATGCAGTTAAATATTTTTGGGGAGGGCTTATTTTCAGGGAAGGGCTTATTTTTGGGGGAGGACTTATTATCTGGGGAGGTCTTATTTTCAGGGAAACACAGTAACAATAAAACAGCTTCAGATTAAAACAAACAATGGCCACCCAACTATATTATGGTTGAAATAAAAAAAATGTTCAGATGCTTCAAAATTGCCAAAGAGGCATGCAAAAGAATTGTTCCAAGGGTGAAGGGCCCTGTCCAAGGTGCTTACTAACTTAATTATTTTTCATGGTGAACCAGAAATAAGGCCTTTTTTTTTGAGAATATACTTTGAAGAACCTCACAAGATCATATAAATCAAAGTTTCATAAACACTGGCATGGGGAATTCTGGGGGAGTTGAAGTCTATATAGGTAGTCCTCAACATACAACCATTCATTTAACGACTGTTCAAAATCACAATGGCACTGAAAAAGTGACTTAACAACCATCTAGTCCAACCCCCCACCCCCTCCTGAACAGGAGACCCTACACCATTTCTGACCAATGGCAGCCCAGTCTCTTATTGAAAGCTTCCAGTGATGAATCTCCCTTCTGAAGGCAGCTTTTGTTTCATTGGTTGATTGCTCTCACTGTCAGAAAATTCCTCCTTATTTCCAGGTTGAGTGTCTCCTTGGTCAGTTTCCATCCATTGTTCCTTGTCTGGCCTTCGGGTGCTTTGGAAAATAGTTTGACCCCCATCCTCTCTGTGGCAGGCCCTCAAATACTGGAAGACTGCTTTCATGTCTCCCCTGGTCCTTCTCTTCACCAGACTAGCCAGGCCCAGTTCCTGCAACGTTCTTCATAATGTTTTAGTCTCCAGTCTCCTAATCATCTTTGTTGCTCTTCTCTGCATTCTTTCTAGTCTCAACATCTTTTTTGTAGTGTGGCGACCAAAACTGGATGCAGTATTCTAGGTGTGGATGGATAGATGGATGGATGGATGGGTAGATAGATAGATAGATAGATAGATAGATAGATAGATGATAGATAGACAGACAGACAGATAGATAGATATACAAACAGATGATAGATGATAGATGTTAGATGATAGATTGATGATAGATAGATGATAGATAGATAGATAGATAGATAGATAGATAGATAGATAGATAGATGATAGTTGATAGATGTTAGATAGATGATAGATGTTAGATAGATAGATGATAGACAGATGATA